TCAATGACATTAATACTTTCCTGCCTCTTCCGTAAATATTTACCCTGACGCACTCTGTCCCTACTTTCATAGTCTCCATTTACAGCCAGGAAGCTGAGGAGCACAGGGTTCAAATAACTCACCCCAAAATATTTACCACCAACTAGCAGACCCATGGCAAAAGTCCCGCTTGCTGCCTCACCAGAGGAATCCATGCATGATCAAGCTACACCTGCTCAAATTACTTTAACTGCTATTTTAGTTTTCATGATACGACATCATTTCTATATCACTGTAAGAAGCATTTATAGCAAAATTTGAGACACATGCAGGATACCAATCCCACTGGATTTGGATTACACACACACAGAAATCCTTTTCATTTCCACCACTTACCAATGTTTCTTCTGTCTTTCTTCTATCCTCCCAACCTTGTCTGGTGTGGCAATCTGACAAAGAAAATCAGAACACAACCATAAGGCTGAGCTCGCCTAAGCCTTATCCTCTTCATGAAATACCTTGGGAGAAACTGCTACAAAAGGAAGAGCTTGGCACAGGAAGAGACCCCATTTCTTGGCCTTGATGAAGCAAGGTTTTGTTCTCACTTTCCTAGTGATTAAAGACAGAAATCAAGATAAAGAAGAGTTAACTTTTCCTCCAAATCATCCAAGTCAGGAGGATTAAATACGGTTGGACACTGATCAAGATTATCTCTATCTTAATTTCCACTTTCTTGACTGCAAATATTTCTTTGTCAAATATGTGAAAATTAAAAATAGAATAGGTCCCACTCTCAGGGATGTAAACCCCACTATTTCACCCTGTGGTCAAAGCCAGGCAACACCACAAATCTTGCAACCTGGTGTTGGTTCATGCTTTCACACACTTTCGAAGGAGCAGAAGAGCAAGGAGCAGTACGAACATTCAGAACAAGGACACAGTAGACAACAGGATTTCCCACAAGCATCTTTTATTGCAAAGACACAGAGCTGCAGCAGCATTTTATCTGTTGGCTAAACAACTTCTAAACACTCCAAATGCCCCAGCTGCTCTCACATCTACAAATCTCTCACAAACACATCCTACTTCTGCTTCCTCCTCCAAGTCAGGGAGAGCTCTGGGAGTCCCTTGCTTTGGAACAAGATGCAGAGGCCTTGGGAAGCCCTCACAAAATTCTGATGTACAATGGAAAATTTCACCACATCAGTGAAAAAATCACACACTCTAGCAATGAGGCACAGAAAACTTTCCATTTAACAGGTATGGCTCTAAGACTTTATTGACAGAAGATGACCTTAAAGATTTAAACAAAAAAAAAAGAAAACCAAACACTATAAATTACTGTATATAGGTGATGTATATGTATATAGGTGATTCGGGGATTCCCAAAGGAAGACAGAATGGGTATGGGGAAGATCATAAAAGCACTCATGAATATGCAGCTTTCAACGTCAAATGATCTCATGAAGTTCAGAGTCCTAAAAAAGTCATCTGACCGATTTTTCTCTGAATCTGTCAGCCAGCCCTATACAAAGAGACACTGCCAGGCTCGAGCAAACCATGGTCTCACCAGTTCAACAGCCTTTTATCCCCCACGGTCAATAATGATTCTTTATGACAGGAATGCAGACTCTCCAATATTCCTGCTGGCAAAGCTTCTCCTTCAATCTAGGCAATCTAAGTTTGGCTTATACCCTTAGGGAAAACTGTCTCTAATAACTTTTCATGCTTTGTTACGTAACTCTGAATTTAATTGTGTGTTTGCAGGATAAAGGCCAAATCCTCTATCATGTTGTTCTGGATGAGAAGCTCCTGAAGAACAGCCTGCACAATGGCATGCACAGGGAGACCATGCTAGGGTTCTCCTACCAGGTTGGGTTCTTCCTCCACAACGACCAGGTATTGTCTGCACTTGCTTGGAGAAACACTTTCCTGCTTTTTACAAATCTAGCTTCAACTCTAACTTAAGATGCAGTCAAAAGGAACTGTGCAGCGCCCATTAGCTTCTGGGATGTAATAGCACAAAAGTTGTCACTCAAATGTACTGTGTCTCTCAGACCTGCTTAATTCAGAGTCACCCTCAAAGAGATCTTTAACTGAATTTGATTTTGGTTGTGCTGTTCACATTTAGCATTGCATTTTAGAAGCTACTATGGTGGATGCTCATCTCTAGCAGCTATAAGTCTGCAATGCAAATCAGTCATTAATCCGACTTCCAAGAGCTATTAGAAACCCACCTTCAGTTATAAAACATTAATTCTATTTTCTGTGGATTTATTCCATTTCCAATCCTAAGAGCTCGAAGCATTGGGCAATAAATATGAACTGTCTTTGAACACCACTCATGGAAAAATCAAGCACAGCCAGATTAAGCGACGCACCCAGTTTTGTGGCACAGATGGGAAGGGAACTTGGTCTTTCTCCTCTGTCCCAGAGTTCCTTCTGGGCATAGGCAAAGGAGGACAGCAAGTTTCTTACTAAAGCAGTTTCAGCCCTGCTGTTTGCTCTGCCCACGCCATAAGCTTTGAAAAGTATGTCCTCATGGAGCTGTTGGTAGTGAGGGCACAATGGGAGTGTGGAGTAGCAGTGAGATGATGAAAGTCCTCCTTGAAGAATCAGCTGGGAGAGCCTCTCTGAAGTCCCTCATCCCCCACTGACAGCAAACCCAGCTCTTGGCTTGCTTTAGGCTCCTTCTTCAAACCCTTTACCTTTACACCCCATGGTGGAAAAATCTGCTCTGCCAAATCCTATTGATAAGAAACTTCAACAGGCTGCAAGTCATCTCATGCCCTCAAGTCCAGTGAAGCCCTTAAATGCAGCAACTGGGATGTGAAAAAATGCTTGAAGTTAACTACATTCATTGGTTTTCCTGAAGTGAAACTTGCACATTACTCCTCCTTTCACCTCCTACTGCTAGTGACCATATAGCTGCCAAACAGCTCTGCTGCTTTCCAACTGATTGCATTTCTTTTGCAGCTATTCATAAATGATGCACCTATAAGCTATACAAATGTTGCAACAGACAAAGGAATTATTCATGGATTGGGAAAGGTCCTGGAAATCCAGAAGAACAGATGTGACATCAATGATAGCGTGATCATCGTAAGTGGTTCTATTCGTATAGAGGCTTAAAGCCCATGGGAGAGGTCTATAACCAAACACAGCTCAAATGTACAGGATAAGTGACACTATTTCCCAGTAAGGAATGCACGCATTTTCCACAAGAGATATTCCTACCAGAGTTTTAGTATATATTAAGACATCTTTGATCCTGCAATTGGTGTACTGACAGCCTGGATAAAATATAATCAGAGTAGCACAGGAATAAGCAATTCCTGAGCTTTAATTTTCAGGTAATAATTGTAATGCACTATTCTAATATGTCACCTTAGGCAGACCACTTTTTATAAAGTAAACAAGTGGAAAAAATGGAAAATAAAATATTTTTAGTAAGGAAAAAAATTTCTTTTCATTCCAAGTGTCAATTACAACTGTGTGTGCACATGAATTCCTTATACCTTCTGAGTAAAGCATTCTCACTCTTTTGTTTCTTTTATATATGAAATATAAACGGGTTTACATTCCTCTAAAGAATAGGATGCGATTTCCTCAGACTGGCAGAGGAAGATTTCCTTTCCTGAGTCAAATAGGATGGCAACCAGGCAACTTACCTCCCTTTTTATGAAGGATGCAATGAACTAGACAAGGAAGAAAAAGTGAGACTTGTGCTTCAGTTACAACAAATTTAACAGGCACGAACTTTTGCAGCTTAATCTTTTCCTTGGGATACAGTCCCATATTTGAGTATATTTCACTCAAGGCTTTTCCCCAGCTTTGCTCTCTCAGGTCCTTTGCACATAGTCTTTTGTTTTCGCATGGAAATTTATTTTCCTTGCTATATTCAAATGCAGCAACATATTTCAACATTCGCTTAAGCCTTACTAAATGTAAGGACATAGTTATCTAAACAGGAATAATATTAAACAGGGTCTACTAGGTATATCTAAGAATTTTGTAGAAGCTGACCTTACATGTGCAAATGATTCACACACACATATAGCATAGGACATACACATGGTATGAGTTTTCCATTTCTAAGCTGTCCTTGCCCTTGTGCCACAGGCAAAGTTTGTCCTAGCTCAGGATTTACCTTTTACTGTGCTTTCAGTGGGGAGGCCTTTAGGAAGCATTGCTCTAGAAGAGCAAAGAGAAATATCCAACAGAGGTTTCCTTCTCCTTTCCCTTGGGAGAAGGCTTCCCATGGGGCATCCCTACAGACCCACTGGTAGGGATGTCCTTCCTTGCCAAGCAGACCAGCTACCCTCACCACCTTTACCAAACGGGGTCATCCTGACTGTACCCTGAGGGCTAGGTTTAAAAATATAACTGGAAATTATGCATTTTTAGTCTGTTAACTACCTCTCATCTGCATTGCTTAAGGAAAAGTGTAGAAGTTGTTCGTACCCGTCAAGGTGTCCCCCAAGAACAAAAGAAATAGTAAGTATTTTATCATTAATACTAATTACTTTTTTATCAAAACTGAGCAGAGATGCATTTAATTCTGGTTTTAATATAATTGCCTCGGTTTCAACAAAAGTTATTGGAGTTACATCAACCTGCTACATATATTACTTACAATCAGTAGATTCAATCCACCCTAAGAGCAAGTGAGCAGAATCAAGAGCAGCTTAAAGATAGCCTTATCCTGAAAGACCAGTTTCTAGTGTGCATTGGGACAACTGAAGCCTTCTCTAACTGTAAAGGTGACTTCTACGATGCAAAACTGAGGGACCTGAGCATGGTCTGGAGTAGCTTGCTACCAGGGGAATTACAGAAGCAGCTTTTAGCCCTTCAAATCAGAACGGAAGGGCAAACTTAGTGAGTTATGGTCATAGGGAGATTTGGAGACTACAGAGACTTTGGATGCCCAGGACCAGTACATGAGAACTGCAGATATTTTGCAGGTTCCTGCCAACCACAATAAGACCTAGAGTTTCTTGGCATCTAAATTTCTCTGGGAAAGCCCCTCGGCTGGGATTATAGAAGCATATTTTCCTTCATACCTTCTTCTATTTTTTAATTAATTATGTCAGTAACATGAATCCAAAGCAGGTTAAGTCCCATCCACCCCGCTATTGACTGACAAAGCCCAGCTGAAGTGTTCATGGGTAAAACTCAAAAACATTAACATTTCCTTGACAATGAGCAACAGGATGCTCATCTCAAATCTAACAAGTGTACAATGAGACTGGCAAGGCTTCAGCAAGCATTCATTCCCAACCATGTCCAGACCTGGAAGATAACACTTCACCAGCTGTTTTGGCAGAACTTTGGCTCTTAGTTTTCCAAGAATTAGGCAAAACAGGAAATGTGTCAGAAAAAAAAATATAGATATATATATACATATATATATATTTGTCAAACTTCAGAAAAAAATTCTGTTTGATTCTGAGCAAAGGCAGTGTTGGACACATCTTTAAAATGCCCTAGGGCACTGAGTTAAATTGATCATATGTTCACTAGCAAAAATCACTTAGCTAATGCATTTTTATTTCTAAAAGTATTTCCTTCATTTTCATTGTGAATGTGTGAGGCAGTGTACAGCATACAAAAAGTTAATGTTCCATTTTTTTAAATATTTGAAACTAATTGATCAGTATTACTCAGAAGTGCAGCTGTTTCTCCAATTTTTGTTCAGACAGGAGCAAAGAAATACTGTGTTCTCTCGGAAAACAACATGAGATTGTACACCATCCAGATCGGGTGCCAGACAAAGTGTGCTAAAACTGTCATTGTGAGTACACCGTTTCTGTTGCAGTAAAAGCCAGACACCCCCATTCCTGAACTTCACCCTCTTCGTAATCCCCACTAAACATGTGTAGCACGTCAAGGCAGTCCCTGACAACATATTTATAGGCCTTTTATTCTGGATGCAGCAGAGGTTGGAAGATTAAAGGCTGATGAAGGCTGCAGCATAGGAAGGGTTGGGAGCCAACGTGGTGCAGAGGGAGCACAGGTTTGGGAAAGATAATCCTATGCTAGTCCCTCACAATCTTGTCCACCTTTCCCTGGGGGTGGTGGAGGACACCTGGGTCCCACCAAGGACCTGGGGTGGCAGCCTGAGCCCCAGCACAGTAAGGAGCGTGGCCAGAGACCAGCAGAGATGAAGCACTGTGAAAAATCCAGATCTATAGTTCACCTCCATCCAGCAGCAGTCCCCAGAGATGATACCCGCCAGCCACATGCTGGCCCTCAGCACGGCATTTCTGGGTTTCCAGACGCGGGAGTGCTGCGCAGGTTTCTTCGGACAGCAGTGCCAGCCCTGCCCGGGAAAAGCGGGGAACGCCTGCTTCGGAAATGGCGTCTGCCTGGATGGCATCAATGGTACGGGTGCCTGCGAGTGTGGAGTGGGGTTTGTCGGCACGGCCTGCGAAAGCTGCATCGAAGGCAAATATGGCCGCAACTGTGATCAAGGTACTGAGCATCCCCAAACCACACAGGCACCTTCACTACTCTTGTGAGATGTCAAAACCTCCCCCTTAGTTCTTCTAACCATGTCCGTTCTAGGTCCTGGAAAGGTACATCATTAATAAAATAAAGTGTAATAAAACAGTCTTAAAAACATCATTAACCACTTTTCCTTCCCCATTATGGTATTTTCCCTCTACTCTCTTGTTCGGAGACGGTGCCTCCTACTCCGGCATGCTACAAGCTTAGAACAGCATCCGGTAAGAATAATCCTCTTTAGCACTGCTTTTTCAGCAATGCTTTCCCCTTAAAATACAGTTTCAGTCCCTGTATTTGTGAATAGAGGAAAGATAAGCGTATTTTGAAATTAGATTTATTCTATAGGTGGAAGCCAATAGGCACAAGCCAAAGCATTTCTTGAAATAGCCTAGAGCAGAAGGTGCCATCAGCAGAAGGTGTCTGAGCCATCCCTCCTGCTCTTCCCTCCCCTCCCTGCCTTGCTGCACACACTGCCCGGGGGTTCCCTCCCATCTCTCCCCACAGCCTGTGCCTGCGTCCACGGGAAATGCAGCAGCGGGATCGACGGGGACGGCTCCTGTGAATGTGACGTTGGCTGGAGAGGGGTGACATGCGAGACCGGTAAGTGTTCCATTACTTTTTTTCTGGGGCGAGAAGTGAGCATTTCAAGAAATGCAGAACTACAGCTGTGATCAGATCCCAGGGCACTACCAGACATCCAGCAGCTTGGGAAATACGGGTGACACTCCTGTGCTATGGCAATTAATTACCTTATTAATAGAGACCCAGTTGAGTCTTAAAGGCCTTACTTAGCTAATTCTCTACCTGTGTCACCCTGTATCTGTCCCTAAAGAATATCCCATTTGTTAAGTCTATACATTTTGCAAAGCAGAGTTACCTAGCACAGAGAAGGTCAAACAGTTGTCTAATCTGCCTGGCAGCCAAACCACCACACTAGCACATTTTGATCCTCAGATCAAAAGGCTCTCAAGGGCTTCAATAAGCTGATTTAGCTACAAAACACTGGATATTAAATTCTGTTCTTGCTAATAAAAATTAATTATCAAATAAATCATTTTGTGTTTAATAGAGCTCCTACAGCCAGTAAAATTATATTTTAGTTAGACATAATTAAAATGTATTAAATAACTATTTCAAAACTCTACATATAATAGTATAAAATAAAAAATGGTATAAGCACATTAATAATATCATTCAATATCAGTTTTAAATTTGGCCAGGGAAAAAATAGTAATTAAATTAACTTTATAGTTGGAGTTGCTATAGTTACTATACCTGAGCAAATTTCAGTTCCTTTAGAAAACCCACACTTATACAATTAAACTAATAATGTGCAAAATTCACCAGACTAAATACAGATAAATGACAACTGGTGAAATATTTTCCTGGCAATACATTGACAAGCCTCTTCCTCACAACTGAATCAAAGTGGCACCCACTGATGGAGTCTCTATACAGACTGAGCGCAGTTGTCTGGTGCAGAACTCATAACAGACTCCAGCTCTGCATGGTGGGAACAAAATACTGGGAAACTAGAAGAATTTTGATCCAAAAGGTTCTGAATCCTGTTTCCTTTTTTTTTTTTTTTTTTTCTCTTGCAGAAATCAAAGAGGACGCATGTAATGCCTCCTGCCATACCAGTGCTAAGTATGTGTGAAATCCACTTATATGGAGAAGGGAAGAGCAATATTAATGTAACATATTCAGTGATAACACCAAAAAGTTCAAACCACGCATGTTAAATGGGGAAACAAATAGGACTGGGGGAGGGGGGGGGCAGGGGGGAAGAAAAAGGAGAGCAAAAAAAGAAGTGAGATAACCTACCATGCAGTATACAAAGAAACGGAGCCTGCAGCACTGAAAAGAACAGGAGACCAGGGCAAGATTGATCACAAAGGCAGGTTTCTGTGGTGGGCTTTCTCTGCTCATCCTATTTGTCCCATCCACCACCACACACAACTGAGAAATGCCATTGGCACAGTGACTTCACCAGAGAGCTGCATTTGGCAAGAAACAGCTCTCCTCTTCACATCAAAATATATTTAAAAAAAAAAAATGCTCTCAGCAGCCCAGTACCAATACTGGGACACTAATCAGTTTTCAGAGGAGCAAGTCACCCCCTTTGAGCCATTTACTGAAGTGCACCTGAAGCCCATCATTGACCAGACAGCAAGATTTACATTATCAAAGACATTTAAAAAACAAGGAAAGGTCACTGGCAAGACTCATTTTCAGCCACAGCTCTTCTGTAAGAGAAGAGAAACCAGAAGGGCAACCCTCCTTTTTCACAGACGTAGATCACTCTCCCCCGCTGCAGTTCACAGCAGTGATATTGTACCAGGCTTTTTTGTCAAAACTCCACTCTCAAGTTTGCTCAGGGGGATCCCACACATACTGGCATCAAAACAGTGTTTCTGACAGGAGAAGCAGGCTGTTTTTTCTCTTGAGCCTTATTCATCCACTGCCATACCCCTGCAGGTACAAGGATAGCTACAGGCACAGCAGGAGTGGCAGGGAAGGATTGGGATTGTGCTGGCTGCATGACACCAGGGAGTAACCCCTGTATTATACAGTGTTCACAGGACAGCAAACTCATGTTTGCATACAGAAGGCCAAACTGTTGAAAAAAAACAGACTTGAACCCAGAGGACTCATATGCCTGGCTCCCACCCTTGAACATCAGTTCTGCTGCATCCCTCAATAAATTGTGTGCACAGAAAATAAAAATTTGTGCACAGTTTTTGGGTGAGCAGGCATGCAACTTCTGAGGTTCTACATGAGAAAAACAGGACACTGGATGACCAAAGCATGCATTTTTAATACTTAAAATAATACATAAAAAAATGCATTTTGAAAGCCTGGTCCAAGTAGGTTCATTTTTATGGTCATAACTATAGCATACTGTATGGTTAAATGCTTTGCTATTTCTATGTGACATTACCTTTGAAACAATGCGCAAAAACAAGGGCTGTACAAAAGACCTGACTCCTTTTCTTTTTTTTTTTTTTTTAATGTCTTTCTCTTATTACTTTTTTAGTTGCCTTCTCCTATCAAATGGCACTGCCTATTGCAAGTGTGCAGCTGGGTTTGAGGGAAACGGGACTTTCTGCACAGGCAAGTGTGTTTCTTCCCTTTTGAAAAAAATGTTCTTGGAGCACTCTGTGGTGATGATGGAGCTGGTGAGAGATGAGCACTTCCCTATGCACCAGTTAAAAAACAAGAATCACTGCCAGTTTCCTCAAAACAACTAAGAGCCCAACAGGTGCAGATTCCTAGCAAACAAAGGGCTCAATATCTCCAAGTTGCAAGGCATTGTGCTAAGGGAGACCAGAGAAAAGGGAACATGCCGTGCACAACCCAGGCCCCATTGTTTGCGGAGAATGAAACCTGGATTATGACTTTTACTCCTTTTCCCAACAAAGCCCAGCAAAGAGAGGCCAATTCAGGGTACAATAGCACTTCCAGCAATTGGAAGCTGTATAGCCCTACTGTTTCCTCAGCTTTCTGAACTTGCACAGATTTCTGGGGTGGTAAAACCAGCTTCTTTAGACCACAGAGATCTGAGAGACTCTCAGAAAGGGGCAAGAGCAGTTTATCCCAGGTGTTCCTTCAAGAGCGTGGCATGTCCAGACTTACAAAATAGACTGCTTCCAGCTACAGTGATTGCAATTAATTTTACAATTGTTTTACTTAATCCTTAACTGATTAAAATACTAATGCTTTTGGGAACAGAAGCATATTTGTCTACTCACAATGGCTGGCAGGGTCTTAATCCAAGAATTTAGCAGTTTCACTGCTTTCATTTTCTCTTCTGGCACAAATCAACCAAATCCATTTTGTTCTATGGGTGGGAAATTCCCCACGCGCAGGAAGAGGTGTGTGACACAGGTCACCCAGTAGCAGCTCTGCACTCACCTTTATTCCCCAGTACAAGATTCCTGAGCAAAACAAGTTACAGGACAAGTCATCTCCTCACTCTGGCTGTTACAGGTGCTGAAACAGCAATTTGGGATCATTTGAGGCAAAAACTAAAGCAACATTTGAAGATCAGAAAATGCTTCCTCCTTGCTCTCAGGGTAATCCAAGCAAATTCAATTTGCAAGCCTCTGACTCATCCAGAGTTGGAGAGACAGCACGAGTATCCATATGAATAACCAGGATTTTTGTCACAGGAGCGCTGGGTGGTATTACACTCTAGACCTCCTGCGAGAGAAGGTGTATGGTCTGTGTGCAGTAAAAGGCAAGCTAAGGGAAAGCTTCAAATGGCCATTTAATCTAGAGAAGAACGTGAAGGCCCCTTTTTTGCGGCTTGGTTGGAATGGGCAGAATCAGAAAATGAGAAGTGACTGAAAGTCAGTCCAGGATGAATCTGACCTTCCAGACTAGAAGCATCTTCTCAGGTTTCCCTCTTCCCTAATCAATAAGGTGTATGAAATATCTGGCACTAATGAAATTATGTCTTCTTAAATCAGAAAGAGTCTGTGTTCAGAAAATGTTAGCAAATCCCTTTAAAAAATAGAAGCAACTGAATCCGAAAAGCAAAAAGCCATTTAATCATATTGGTTTAATCTGGGTTGTCACTGTTCAGCTATTGATGCTTGCAAGACTAGCAACGGTGGCTGTTCTGCCAAGGCAGAGTGCAGAAGAACAACGCCTGGCAATAGAGTGTGCGTCTGCAATGCTGGGTACACTGGAGATGGAACAGTCTGCATCGGTGAGCATTTGCAACGTCTCATGTAGCACACAGAAGGAAATTACAGGAGCGGGTTTTCCTGTAGATGGAAGAACCTTCTTCCACTATGACCCAGAAGTGCAATTTCCTGATACTGTAGACCCTGATGCTAAAGGCATCTCTACCGGCCACGTGGTTGATAGTACTTGGCAAACCACACAACTATAGCAGTGTGGTGTGACACCAAAGCTTATTACAAAAAATCTGTCTCTCTACACGGATAGGCCCATCTTCAGCAGCCTGATATGCTCATGCTCCTCTGACCTGCAAACTTAGACTTTTAGACACTGTTGTATCATACCTCCCCAGGTATGGTTTTAGAAATGCTGATGGCAGGGTTTTAGCCTTCACCAAGACAACTGCAAGACCTAGATTGAAGTATTAAGTAGCTAAGGGAATGAATTGCATTGATTCACAGTTGTCATAAACCTGCATTCCTAGTATGCTTTACTTAAAATTCTCCCTTCTTGAGTTTTCAAAAGTCACTCTTTTTTTTTTTTTATTATTTTACGGTTTCTGTTTTATAAAGAAATCAACCCTTGTCTGGAGAGCCATGGTGGATGTGATAGAAATGCAGAATGCACACAGACTGGACCCAATCAAGTGAGTACTTGTCAGTGCAGATAAATAAAACTGGCCAACTGTTTACAGTTGGATAAAGAAAGATTTCCCCGTCTCAACTTTGTTTTTAAATGGAAAAGTGGATTTCATAACAAAAATTCTGAAAAGTATATGCTTCCCTCAAAAAGGTATTTGATGGGGAGAATGGACAAACATGAAAAAATTAATTTCAGTAAAATAAACCCAAAATTGCAGAAGAAAGCAGTGTCTTGCTCTTTCAAGTAGTTATTTTTCTTCTTTGGGAGGTTTTGATGTGAAAACCTGTCAGTTTGAAAGTACTGCCAGATAATGTTTCTTTTATTGTTATAGAAACTGTCCATGGGAAAATTCCATTTCAGACTAGCCCTTCTCCCAGCACAGCTCAAACATCCTCACAAGGAAACAAAACATCCTGAATCACAGTTGTGGTATAGGGGTTACAGTGTACCAGCATCCACTCGCTCCTCACTGCTCTGTGTCTCCCATGCAGAAGTACCACTTATTCTTCAAAGAAAGAAGAACTATAGAAGGACAGTGGGGGAAAGGAGAAACAAATTGGCCCAGGCCATCGAGTGACACAGATTAGTGTTTCTATTTTTATAACAATTTCAGAAGCAGCTGAACACCCTGACTGCAACACTTCTTATCATCCCCCTGTAGTTTCATACTGTCTGTTGGCAGGACTGTAATCCTCCTGTGAGCACTGCACAACAGTATTTCTTCAAAAGCAATGCAGGAAACAGAGACCAGAACTCAGAGGCCACCTCCAGCCCTCTGGGTGTCCAGGGACAGGAGGAGCGATAACCCCATCAACCCTTGTTGCCAGTACTGATCAGTTAACTCTTTGCCTTGCCTGTCATTTGCAAGTCGGTACATTTCTGATGGGAGCACAGAGCCACTTAATTCCTTCCACATCCCTCTAGACAAGACAGGTGATGGCTATTTTCTTCCATACACCCTTCACTGGGGATGGAAGTAGTAGCTAGAACGTGATTATTTATACTTCCTTACCCATGGGAATATCGTTAACATCGGAGCAATAATAACCTCCACTACAAAAATCCCAGGACTGCAGAGTCACATTTATACAACAGAAACATGTCTGCTTTCTGTTGGGCTTTCAGTCATCCAGGTACATAAAACACTGCTATTACACTGCCTAGCAGTTTTATTTGTGCTGCAGAAATCACCTTGAATTTTCAATCTCCTACATATTAAATGTGAATTCTAAACTGAGAGCCATTAAGCAGTGAATTGGAAAGGAATGAAGTAATTTCATTGCAACCATGTTAATTTTTCATCTTTGTGATAACTGCAAGTGCAAAACAGAATCATCATGACACAAGTGTCAAACAGATTACCAGTTGTCAGTAACATCAGGACACAGTTCCAACTGTGTTTCAAAGATTTGTTTCATCCCTTAAAAGAACAGGGAAAGAGAAGAGAAGAGAGGGGAATGCCAACCTGTGCAAATAAAATAAGGGAAACAAATTAGGGGTTTAGCCTATTTCTCCAGCAAGCTGGTCATGTGCAGATGTCAAAGAGATCATTTCAAATAAGCAGGACAGCAGAGGACAGACAAAAGATGGATGGGCAGAGAAAGGGCAGAGAGAGCCTCCTGGAATTGTTACTCCTCAATCTCAGTCTATGGTTGCTCATGATGGCTAGGAAACTGCTGCAGAAGTGATGATATACACTGTGCACTATGAAATAATCAGGCAAAAAATTAATTAAATATAAACATGCTGAAAAAGATCAAACATCTTTCCATTTATGCATGTCTTCTGTTTTTGCTTGTAGGCGGTATGTAACTGCTTGAAGGGATACTCTGGAGATGGTAAAAGATGTACATATATCAGTCTGTGTTCACAAGTAAGTATCCATTTAAGGAGAGTATTTAAGATCTTGATATCATCATTGCACTTTTGGGGTTTGCAAGCCTTCAAAACTAAGCCAGATATGCCCAGAATCAACTCATGTTAACTTAGCTAATTTTCAAATGTGCTTGGTTCAGTACACCCTTTGGTGCTGTCACTATTTTAGAAACCAAGTATGAAGTAAGGGCTTTTCCTGGACCACAGCCTGGATGTAACACAAGTGAGGGCCCAGACTCATCACCGAGTCTTAAAAAAACACTTCAGATCAGACCTAGAGAAACAGACCCTCATCTGCAGTGGTAAAATGTAAGTCACATCATCTCAGCAAATTTTTTGTCATTGCTTGAGTTCATATAAAAAACCCACTATCTAAATTTGTCTTTGGGGGACAGAGGGCTTATGAACATTTCAGTTAATATTAAAAAAAAAAAATGCAGTTTCTAGGCAAGACAGTTAGAGAGCTTAGTTCAAATGATAAGAAAAAGAAGCGTGATCTACTACATGCTACCTGTAAAGAGAAAAAAAAAAATCTACAGTTCAGGTTGTTGATGCTCAGGGACCAGTTCTAGCTGTTCTAGGAGCCAGGTGATTGGGAACCAAAGAGAGTAGTCTATGGTAGATCAAAACACCTATTTGTTTTCAATGTTGTCATGTCAGTACGTCCTCTGGCGTGATTTGGGACTGTATCTGTGCATCCTGAACAAGAGAAATGATCCGCTGCCAATATACACGTCCCCTTCTCAGTCTGAAATTTTTCCAGCCTAATCAGATTATCAAGTCTTCACATCGCTGCATCGTTACCAATGAAATCCATGTTGGGGCAAAGAGGTGCTCAAGGGCCTGGTCTCCCTGGAGTAGATGTTTCCAGTGGAAATTCCAGCGGGAATTTCAGCCTGCAGGCTCACCTAGGGCAGAGCTCCCATGGGGCAAGTCAAAGAACAGAGCCCCGCAGTCCCTATGGCCATGCATAGGCTGCATCCCCAACGCATCCCTGGGATGCAGAACACAGGGTATCAACACTGCAAGCTGCAGCAGAGGTGGCTTAGTGAACACTGAAGCGGAGGAGGTGAGAAGACGGATGGCGGAATGGAAGCCTCTCCTGATGGGGAGGTTAAAAGAAAAAAAGAATTTTCTACACCAACCATTTCCCTTCTTTCCCTCCGCAACACACAATGCAGTGCTTCCCGTGGCATTCCTCATTTTGTCCCTCACTTACTACTGCAGGCTGAGAACTGGCCACGTTTGTTTCACGGTGCTACGTACTTGCACCAGCCGCATTGCTCTGCTTGGCAAGCTGCAGCAGGGACATATCCACTCTCCCGTGCACATTAATCCTTTGTGCTCCAGGCGCAGTGACAATAATTCTCACCCTCCCAGCCTGGCCTGTCAGCAGAGTTTCTCTCTAACCTTGAAAGGTTGCAGAGATGAAAGAGCAAGGGCAAAAACATAAGCTGGAGGAAGGGGAGCTCAAAGTTATGATCTACCACTTCCTAAGATTCTGTATGCTTTTGCCTTTTCCTTATGCCTTGTTCCAGCAACTTTGCTTCCAAATGGTTAATTATGCTAGGATAATTAAAGATATAATTTAAAAAAATACAATTTTGAGAAGTGTTGCTGTCAGACCAAAGGCTAATCTGACTTCACTGTGGCAAACCTCTGGGCAGAAAAGCTTTATGGGAAGCTATGAAAAACCCAAGATTGCCAGAAGTCCACCTAGAGCTAGCCAAATAAATAGCAAGTGCACCCAAGCCCACTAATTACAGTCAGTACTCACTATGGCCTGTCAAGTCAGGCCCCATGGTAGCTCCCAAGAGAGCTTCTACTGCCACTCATGGCCCATGGGAAAGGGTCACCGAGATGACCAGCAACATGAAGGACACATGAAACAAGCATCAGGAAAGAAAACAAGTTGGCTTCCCAATTTCTGTTGATTTGCTCTCAAGTTTAAGATAGAAACTTATCTGTAAACTGAGATTCTACCTGAGGAGCACTAACCTGTGACTGGGCAGAGCTCTGAGCCCCAACACACTGCTTCTGGTTGAGGAACATCTCCTCTCCACACAGAAAGTTTCCTGGAGGCAGGCGGCCGAGGAGGTGCATCACTGCTGCTCTAAGCCTTACGTTGCACTGGTGGTGCACCCAGGGGTGAACAGGAGATGTTTTAGAGGAAAGCACATGTGACAGGTCCCCATTCCAGCTGGCCTGGGCCATCAGACAGCTGAAGAACAATAGTCCTATGCTAATGCTCTTCCAGAAATCCAGGCTCCTAGAACCACAGAAGTGATGTACAGCTGTAAATAGTTCCCTTCAGCGTAAATCAATGGTGCTTCAGCAGAGCAGTTAAAACTCATCCCCAAGGTCCAGAATGAAGCCTGCCTGGAAAGCTTGTGGATCCTTATAACACCATGAACTGAGTATAAAAGGAGGGAATCAAAACTACATCTTCTTCATAAAAGGAGAGTTATTTCTTATGAACCTTAAATGCTCTTTATTGTTTGCAAGAAAGCATATACTATCAGAAGCTCCAGTAAGATCTCATTTCAAAAAACTGTTGGGATTAAGTCTTTCTAAGCTATATACCTTGGGGGGAAAAGTGGTGAACTAGAATAGTTCTGTACACCTGGCAATGAAGGAATTTTTAAATTTTCATCTTACAAGAATAATGGAGGCTGCAGTGAATTTGCCATCTGTAATGACACCGAGCTGACAGAAAGGACCTGCACCTGCAAACATAACTACGTTGGGGATGGATTTAAGTGCCGAAGCAATATCTTCCAGGTACAGTGCTGTACATGTTTTCTGTCCCTTATTTTTCTTCAGGTAGTTATTTAATACAATGGCTGTCTCTTGAAACATGCCATTTTTTTTCTTAAACAAATTGATAAATCTATCCCAGAATTTGAAACAATCCCAATCCAAGAAATCAGGAAGAGAAACAGGATGCTGCAAGATAACCTTACCTGACTCAGAAAAAAAAAAAATAAAATAAACAACTGATAGACAATCTCTATGGCTGTAGTACTACAGAGTTAATACTGGTACTTTTATGTGTCAAAGAAGACTGCTTTTGATAGAGCAAGGTAAGAAAAGAACAGGAGCATTGCAGATGGGCAGCATTTATTCTAAGCCAGAAGTTTTCTTTCTTTTCCAAGTGTTGGATTTATTTGTACTCCACAGATGTTGTCTCATGTTTGCAGCACTGTTACAAAGCCTTGTTCTTGATTGCAGGAACTTCTCAGAGACTCCAACACATCTAGGTTTTATTTCCATTTAGAGGTAAGAAAAGGTCAAGGGTTTTGGTTGGGTTTTTTTTTTGTTTGGGGAGGGGGGTTCCTACCTTGGCAGTCTGGCCCGAAGTAGCCCTTGCAGCACTTGGCTGTCTGGATGACCATGGAGCAGTTCCTACGGCAGCCATCCCTCCGCAGCCCGTAAGACTCGTACGTGCACCACTGAATCCCTTCCTGAGCCAGCACAGAGAGGGGGAAAACCACAGGAAGATGAATGGTATGTGGAGGTTTGGGTTTCTTCTTCAAATCAGTTTCTGATGTACACTGAATTAAAATGTGA